CCCCAAAACCCCAAAACCCCAAAACCCCAAAACCCCATGCAAACTATTCAAACAAAATGAACTGATAGCATGAATTAATATTTTAGAATGAGAGTATTTGATAAGAATTGAGCGGGATACTAAAATTGTTAATAGAATATAATAAATGGTTGCATACTTAAAAGACTAAAAATTAAACCATTGCATTTCTATGAAATACAATATTATACTTTGCTTTTATCTCTATATTGTCCTGCAATGCATTGAGATTTAAGCTTAAAATGGGGGTAATTAGCATTATAATTTTATATTCATAGGGAGAAAAGAGATATCCTTTTAGTTTTAAATTGGCTCAGAGGATCTAATCCCATCCATTTCTAAATAAATTTCTATTTCATAGACTTTGCTACTACCAAAAATAGTATTACTAGAAAATAATAAAAAATCTGAACTTGACCTTAAAAACCTCAAAATTATAAATTCAGCAAGTGGACAAGATATCAAATTATCTCTTATGAAGGAAAATACTTTTCAAAGCCACTAGGGACTGATAAGTGGTTCTGCTTTCTAAATATTATTCCCATAAAACTTCTCAAATGACAAGATATTCCTAGAATATTAGCTAATAATACCTCCTCATAACTTAATTGCCTTAAAAAAGATAATAGAGATTAAGATTAATGATTTCGAGCTCTAAAACTCTAATCTTTAAGAGGAGTAGCTAATCATAATTTACGATGATTCTAAAAGACCAGAAAATTTGAGGGATAAATTTATATCAATCAATATGACTTATTCTGGTACATTGCACAAGATTGAAGAATACTCTTGTGTCCTTAGCAAGCAAAATATTTTGAATAGCAAAAATTATTAAGATTTTGAAATGGCTTCCTATTCTGCTAAGATCCATTCTATTACTTTAGATTACTAGGAATATCGATACTTTGAATGCTAGTTCATCCTGAATAATGAAATTTAGATACATTTAGATTAAGATGTGTCCTTTTTTAATCAAAGAGTATTTACTCTAGCACTCTATCACTTAAATACTAGCATTTTATCGAAATAATCAGGACTCATTATAAAAAGACCCAAATTGAAATTGGATCCAGTGAATCATCAAATTTATGTAAAGAACACTGATTAGATGCTTATTTTTACCCTTAATGAACCATTGATAAGCGACTTCAATAAAACAATAGGGTGCTTACTAGTTGATGATTAGAGCGGCAAGAATATATATCTCTAAGGATTAGTAAGTAAGAATATTATATAATGCAAACTAGATCTTGCTATCTAAAGTCATTAGTCTTTCAGACTTGCAATCAATTACAACCCTCTCAGTGAGATTAACAAGATACTTAAGTCATTTAATGATGGCATTTTGAATTTTATTGGTCTTGAATCAGCAAATATTTCTACTTATGACGAAAAGCAAGCAATCTTTCTGCCATAAGATAGAATCACAATGAAGTTATTACTAAGATTCACAACCAAAACAGTCATAAGTTAGTAATTTTCCCCTTTACTAATTCTGAATCCTGACTAAAATTCTATTTATCTGAAGCCTGAAAAATAGTTTTCTACTTCATGTATATTAGAAAAACTATCAGATTAAAGTGGATAGTACTTCAGATACGACTGTAATTATAATTACTAAGTAAATTAAGTTTACATTAAAGAGCTCAGCGAGCTTAAGTTCGGAATATCTGGACTATCTAAAACTTTGACTAATAAAGATAACATTAAAGTTCTTGATTAATCAATCTAAATTCTAAATAAATTCGAAATTGAAAGTGTGTCTAGAAGCTTCTTAAGATACTAATCGAAATAAAAATTGAATTTCAATATGAGCATAGATAAAGTCTAGAAAATGTTTGTAAATGACTATAAGGAACTATTTGAAACAAATAAGATAAAATGCCGTCTATCAAAGATTAATGAAGAGTAATCAGGTGAGCTTTAGTATCTAAAGTTTATTGAACTTACACCCATGATAATCGGAGATTAGATACTATGCTAACTTAACCAAAGTCTTCCTGCTGTTATGGAATAATCTGAAAAAGATGTGTTCAAGATTTTGATCTCACTATATACATCGAAGTACAATTTTTAGATGAGTATCAATCAAGTAGTTGGATTTGTACTTAAATATGATCCAGTAATTACTATAATCGACAGGTAAATAGGCTTCCTCAACGAGGATAATGAAATTATATTTGAACTTAACATTTGGAATTAGATGCTATCCTAATATGCATAGTGCTAATTCTTAATATCAGACACTCGCATCTAGGACACTTAATTTGGAATAATCTACTCGCCTATCATTCATAAGTATCAGAACACTGTGCATTGCAAAGGTCCTAATATGATAACTGGCTCTTACTACATGTATTTAATAGATATTCAAAGTAAAGAATAAATCACTGTAACGCCTAAGTTACCTTAAATAAACATCATTGAAAAATTTACTCTAAGGCTTACTTAGACTAGCTTCCTAAATATATAGCCTTTGATATTAAGATTCGAGTAAAATCTGATGTATGATATTTCAAAGTACAAGACAGACCACATTGATTGCCAATTAAATGATATGCTTTTGGGTGATTTAATAATTAACACTACTGACTGCCTTTGTCAATTCAATAACTTTGCTTTTGAATCAAGTGATCGTGATATTGCTATTGGAACAAATAATTTGAAAATAGTAGCAAAGTTGAATGATAGAGAACTTGTTTAAGTATCTCGAGATATTCTTGTTTTTGATCTTTACCAATTACCTGATATACTATTAACTCAAGACAAGATATTCAATATATGGAAATATGCTAGTGATTCTTTGACTATAAATTTTAGATTCACAAATGATTTAAAAAATTTGAGCATTAGCCAAAGTTCTATATCATAAAGTGCACTTAGTTACTATTAAAGTCATTTTAAATGTGCAATAATATCCCTAAACAACGATGGTTAGTCCTAGGCGTACACGATTGTTGAAATATAGTTCAAAAACATATAAGCTAAAGATAATCTATTCTAATGCGTGATTCCTAATTTCGTCCAGAGATATTCTGGATTTTTTAATTAATTTGAACTTAGACTATAATACTACTCTCCCTTTAAAGGAGAAGATTAATAAGAGTTGATAGATTTAGATAGGATCTTTACTGTATATTCAGTGAGCTAATAAGTTTAAAATTAGATACTTACTCTTGAAAGTGAAACTAATTCTGTTTCCACAGTAAAAATTATATTGATTAAAGATGATAGCCAAGAAAATATCTTTTATGAAATGTATAAGAAAGGATACTATTTTAATCTTCAAATAAAGGCTTAAAACTCAAACACAAATTACTCAATTTAAAATCTACCTATGACTTCACAGAATGTTTTGAGGTTCGAAATACCAACTGAACTTAACTTCATTATGGATTTATATAAAGTGTATGTATCAATTGAAGTATACTCTCAAGTCTAATTTTCAGTTAATAAGAATAACCAAATTCTATTTTACAATCCCTTAGAATTAATCTAGGATATTTCTATAAGTTAAGAAACATAAGTAATCTACCTTAAACATAGCTAAGTCAACAAGTTTCATGATTTGATATTGAAAATTGATGATAGCAGTCAAGCTTTCAAAATAGCTGGCAATCAGCTAAATATATCTATAAGAGTTTTAGATTAACTTTATCAAGCTATAGACTATGATTAGTCATTAAAAATGCTTAAGTATCAAATTAGCATAAATACGACAGAATTTAATTCATTTATCTCTAATCAAACTCTAATGATAGACATTTCATTCGACAATGGGCAAAACTTTTACAAAAGAGATGAACTGTTCCTAAGGGTGATTATTGAGAATAGTTTAATCAAAATGATATAGCCAGAATACGGCTGGGTTAAAAAGTTTGATACCTATGATATTGAAATTGATTAAAGCAATCTTAGAGATGTGATGCCTTTATCTTGTGTTATTAACAATAAAATTCTATCTATAGCAGAGTAAATTGATGACAGCCTTATTCGATGTGAAATTACTTTTACCTAAGCTGGCTATAATAATTTGGTAGTATCAAACTTAGCTGATCCCCAAAAATTCACTTCAAATGTTTTAACAATTAGAGTGTTTCAAGATATAAAAATCTAACAAGTTGAACCTAATGTTTTCTTGCATCAAAATTAAACAGTGAATGTCAGTATATTCACAGTGAATGATTTGCCTGCAAAACTTCCAATTTACTGCCTTTTTGGTACATTTAAGTCAAGAGCTACTTTCATATCAGTTAGATAATTAGTATGTGCTGTCAATACTATAGATCAGATAAGTGTTAACACGTTGATCATAGATATTGATGGTAGATCTTAAACAAGTCAGTTTATCGAAGTTATTGATAGTTCATATGAAATTAAAAACGTATGGCCTTTACAAATTCCATCAAGTGGTGAAGCGAACATGGCAGTTACACTTAATCAAAATCCTTAAGAGAGTATTCTAAGGTTTAAATGCATTTTATAAAACTTAAATGAGATTTACTATGGAGTAGTATCTCAATTACTGCTAAACAAAATTTAGTGCAAGTTCAATATGGGGACAAAAAGAAATCAATCTTATGATATTTACATAGGAGTGAATGATTAACAAAGAATACACTATTAAGAATCAATTATTCAAACATCAGCTATTCTTTCAATAATTGATGTAAATCCAAAAACAACAATGCTCAGAGGTTATGATTAGAAGTTCATCATTAATGGGCATGATCTTGATTAGAAAGACCTTATTGTGCAATTATATGATCCTATGACAGAACAAATAATATATAGAATCAGTGAATTTGCATTCCAAAATTAAACACAGATCTAAATTATCATCCCTAAAGATATATTAACCTTAAAAGAGCAAGTGATACAAGTCTACTAGAATGACACAAATATCTACTCAAATGAGTTTGTGATTTATGCTCTTGATTCTATTGATTTTATAGATTTCTATCCAAGAATAGGGTTTCAAGGTATTGAGAACAAATTTTATATCAAAATGATGAATTTCTATGAGATTGATTTATTTTGTCATTTTTATTCAAATAACTCCAAATCTTCATCAATAGTAGTAAAAGCATAATATGACAGCAAAAAATAATTGTTTTGCCTATTGCAAAAAGATTATTAGAGAAGAGGATATAATACTGATGATGAAGTAGTTTTAGAGGTATCTGTAGATAATGTAACACGAATTGCTTTTGGAAATAATATTAGAATAGTGTAGTTTAGAGTATAAGATTTCACACCAAAGGTCATTGAGTATCAATCTCAGTCATTGATACAAATTTAAACTGTCGATTATTTACTCAAAGGAAGTCTAATTGAATCTAGTAAAGAATATATTTGTGCTTTTGATTACAATCATCATTTAATATTTACCTCGGCTAATGTTACAACTGACTATTAAATCTAATGCTTTTGCCCTAATTTTAATCAAAGTAATATTTAATAGAGCACAACTATTTATATATCTGTAAACTAAGTTAACTTAATTAGAGTGGGGACATTGATCATATTCCCTAAGATTTTAGTACATGACATTACTCCAAAGTACCTATTGAAAAATGAGGATAATTTGATTAATTTTTACGGATAATACTTCTTAAACTTAGATATGCATTTAAAGGTAGAGATTTATGATAACTTCGGTATGCTTTTGAACTACTAATTCTTGAAAGTTTTCAACATTATTTCTGATTCATAAGTTCAATTTATAATACCTTCCATTACTAATGACAGAGCTTATATAACTAGAATGAGTCTTACTAATAACATGGTTGATTTTACGAATTCTAGCGAGCTATAAATTAAGATAATTGACAGGCCTTTGATTAATAAGAAATAATACTTTAACCTGATTTGGAGTGCAACTTAAACTATTCAAATTTAAGGAAGAAACTTGTTTAAAGAACTTGAGATTTATTGCTAATTTGATAATACTGATAAGAAGGTTCAAGCTATTGTATCTAATGATTCATTATGCATTTGTAAAATTGATGAATTCATTTAAGCTGGGAAATACGATATTAATTTAGTCTCACAATCTTTAGTCCAAAGATTAAACAAAGATAGAATATTTGTCACTATATCATCCCCACCATAGATTGTCTTCTAATCACTTTTTATATCGACTCTAAAGCATTAGAGATATCACAATATATCCTTTATTATGGACTAGAGTCTAGATAATCCCAGCTTTAATTAAATATTTATGAGATTAATTCCACTCTCAGAATAATACCAATCTGAAAAATAAACTTGCAATTATAGCATATATTCTAACAGAAATTTAACATGTTTGATCCCTGAAAATCTAAAAGAAGGACTGCACTATATTCTGATATCGTACGATTCTGGCATCTAATATATTAATACCACAAAGTAAATTGATATTGTTTGCGAACCCGTCATTTTCGAAGTATAGCCAAGAATTATCCTTACAAATACTTAAAGTGTCATTGAGATCAGAGGGAATAACTTTAGACCTGAATATATAAGGCAAGTATGGGTTGGAAAGTTCCAAACTTCATATACATATTACAATCAAAATCTGATTAAATTAGTCTCCCCTGTTTTCACAGACAATTAAGATTTTTCTCTTGAATTAAAATTGGAAACTTTCATACAGGATCATTTCAGTAATGGAAAATAGATTATTTACAGCAGTAAGCTAAATCTAACCAACTATTATCCTAAAATGGTCACTATGAAGCATGGTTTAAGGAGGATAAGAGTCTAAGGAAGTGGATTTTTAAATATATACAACTACACTTGCTAACTATTAGCTGATTCATCAGGTATTAGAGCAGTAAATTAGCAAACATATGCAAGATATATAAACTAGAATGAGATAGAATGCTTGATTGATACTAATCTTCTGTAATTCGTAGCCTATTCCTACTATGAGCTAAGACTTGGATTAGATCAATAGAATACTCACAAACTTGGGAGTATTATAGTAATTAGCTAACCTAAGTTGTCCTCAGTGCAGCCTAATATTGTTTACAATGACGGTTAGTTCTATTAATTAGAAATTTATGGATTGTGGAATTACTTCTAGTAATTTGAGAGACCATTGATAAGAATATCTGATTAAGCTAATTAAACATTAGATTTAATTAATGGTGATTATGAAAGTACTAAAAGTGCAGACAGTTATTTAGTATTTGACCTACAAGGATATTTAAATCAAAGTGAAGTTTACATTTAGTTGATTCAGGATTATGAAGTATTATCAAATTAAGTCAAAATCATACTTTACAGGAGACCTTTAATAACTGGATTTTCATAAAGCTACTTTGATCTCAATTCTAATACTAAATTCACAATAGGAGTATATGGACGTCATTTCGAAAGGTTTCAACTAATGTGCAAACTATCAAATCAAATATAACTCAGTGTTACCTATTATAACACTTCCTATATTGAATGCTATTGGAGCAAGTTTTAGTCACTTGATAACTATATTGTTGGGGTTTCGACTAATAATGGTTTCAATTGGACCTATGCTTATACAATGCCTTTGAAGTTTATTTAACTTCCAATGGTAAAGTCAGTATTCCCTCTATAAATACCTGCTAACTTGGATGCATTGGTATATCTTGAAATTAATGGAACTGACCTGTTATAAATAGGCGCTATCCAAATTCAAATATCAAATCAGCAATACAACCCTAAAATAATCAATAACACTCATATGATAGTAAAATTAGTGAAAAATCTTACTAATGTAGACAAAGAAATTAAAATCTATATGAAATTTGACACCTAACCTTATTATAACAGTGGTTAAGTCATTAGCTTCTCAAGAGGAATTCTTATTAATTCGAAGAGAAATATCCTTTTTAAAAATGATGAAGCTAGAAAAGTCATTATTGAGGGCTTCAATTTCTTACATCTATAATATTCTACTTAATGCGTAGTTAATGAAACCTAAACATATGAAGCTAATTATCTTGATCAAAATCACATTTAATGCTAATTATCTGAATCTAATCTTTAAACTGGCACTTATAATCTAAGTCTTAAGAATTAATATCTTGATTTAAGTGCATTACTTTAAAATAGTTTAGTGGTATTACCACATCGCTCAGAAATTAACATATTTAGCAAGCTAACTAATAATCTTATTGAAATAGGAGGAGATTATATTTATTAAAATACTACACAGTGCTAGTTTAATCTTTAAAACGGTACAAGCTTAATCTTAGATCCAATTATTACCCATAAATAAGTTTACGAGACAAATAGTATCAGATACTATAAATTAATTAGATGTAAATAACCATTAGGAATTGAGAATTAATTCGCTTAAGTATTAATATCCTCTTATGATGGATAAGTAATGTCTAACTACCTTACTTTCAACTCACCAATAAAACCTGAAGTAGCATTTCTTAAAAAAAGAATTATTCTTGCTGATAACTATGCAGATGAATATATCCAGCTAAAAATCTAAAATAACTTTTTTGATTTTTCACTTTTGCATTGTGCAATAACTGATAATTAAAATTTCACTTATTATCAATAGACTCGATTAGATTATGATGAATTTTACTACTGCTAAATTCCCGTCATTTAACCAAAGAGATCACCTTTATAAATTTAAGTTTCATTTGACAATCTTACTTGGTCTTAAATCTTTTCAGATGCTGTCAAAGTTATCCCATTCACTAAGATAATGTCATTGTAACCTTAAAGCATCCTGCTAAATAGATAATAATAAACTACATTCAACTTTTTATTAACTTAGCCTATTAGTGATTCATATATCTTTTCTGATATTAAATGCAATTACAGAGTTAATAGTTAAGTGCTCACAGTTAATATAACTACTACATAGAATGATAGATACTTTAAATGCATATTTAATCAAGCGAATCATTTATAAATCTAGACTTTGTCTGTATATATCACTTACCTAGAGGAATATATAAGCTTTGTGAATGATTATTAAAAGGAACAAGAAATTACAATTATCTCGCAACCCATTATTAAGTCATTTTATCCTAAGGTTTTGATAAGTCTTGAACAGAGATAGATATTACTAATTAATGGCAGTGGGTTTGCTAACTTCACATAATGCTAGTATTTCTATCAAGGACAAATATTTGATTTTGAAATCGTTCATAAAATAGGATATATTACATGCTAAATGCCTATGATCAAGATTAAATTTTAAAGCTAGTAGAGATATATGCAAGTTTAATTAGTTATAGATGATTAGAATTTCTATTAAATGACTGATATATAGATTATCCCTTAGATCTAGATAGTAGACAGCTATCAAAAAGAGAATAGTATTTTGATAGCACTAGATAGATATCTTGATTAGATGTTGATAGAAGTATAATACTATTGTATTCTAGGATATGAGAAAAACAGTCTAGTCAAGATAAAAGCAACAATCGTAAAAGAAAATATCTTAAATTGTAGTTTGTCCTAGAAAAAATTTGATTCAAAACTCTCAATGCTTAAATTAGATTACTACTACGGTCAATAACAGCAATCATCTAATTAGATATCATTGTAAAACTAAGACAAATGGAAATTGATAAATAATGTCACTACTCCTAAAGGATTAATTCTTCTGAAATCTCACACCAATCATGAATATAATTAAAGTAGTGATACTGCTACTTAGAGGTTTTTCTGCTAATTCAATATTTAAGATCACTAATATACCAATCCTGTAATCAAATACACGAGCTTAAATAAGTAATCAAGAGAATAATTTGGTTTTTATCTTACGAATCAAATTCTATAAGACAACTTGTATTATTGTGTTTTACCTTAGACTATTCAATATTCCACAAACTTAAGACTTAATGAATACTATGAGATTAAAATCTATGATTAACAATTGAATACTTTAAGTTACTTCCATGGACATCAAGCCTATCCGAGTAAATTCAGAATACAGAGAGAATTCATAATTGATATTCATCAGGTCTAAAGACTTTTCATTGATTTTAAGAATACAAGTTTAAAGGAACAAAAACTAAGTATATATATCAAGACTATTTTTAATATAACTGGGTAGAAATGTTCCTTATTCTCATTGATTGACAGTAATGTATTCGGTGTTCTAACTAATTATAAGGATGATATATATGAATGTAAAATATCAATTAGTCACTTAGAAACTATGAATCTTAAATTTAGAATATACAAGGAGTTTAACTAAGAGTAGCTTGATTATTTGATGATATCTGAGAATGGTTTAATATTCCAACCTATTTAGGAAGTTGTAGTCAAACTTGATTAAACACCTTAGTTAACATTATCTAATCTCCAAAGTATATTTGAAAGCTAAACAACTGAAATTATTGAACTAAAAGGAATCAGTCTATTCTAGGATATGATTATATCATTAGCTGATTAAGTTATTCCTTGCTTGTCAATAGATGATCAAAATTTAAAATGTAAAGGATTAAACCAGACTCAAATATAAAGATTTATATCAAGATATCAAGCATAACTCATTACTATCAACTACAACTTAACTTACCAAAATCCAATTTCACAAGGATCATAATCATATTAGTAAGGAATCGGAATTATGATATTCTAGCACTTAAAGTTTTCTCCAATCCAATACTTGACTAATTTAACTAACAGCGAGCATTCTGCTACATTAAATTTCAGCACTACTAGAGATATTTTTGACAGCTATTAGGATAAAGTATTTTGTTTGTTGTTCAATTCAAATTCATCCTACTATCTCAATGCAACAATTTCAGGAAATACTTTATCTTGCAAAGTATATATTTTGTAGACAATCAGAATTTAAAATTGGTAAATCTCTATAGTATTTCAAGATCTTACCTTACTCTCTACCAATTCAGCTCGGATATTTGTACAACCAAAGATTTAAATACCATTTTACATTTAACCCTCGATAATTCTGTGCAGTGATTATGTTTCTTAGTCCATATAGGTAATCTTTGAATCTGCTCTACCAGATGAATTAAATAATCAGACTTTATTTATTGGAACTAATCACTCGATGTTTACTCTTAATTTCATAAACAAAACTTAAGCGAGTGCTTCTATATTTAGTCCATGTAAGAAGAATCTTACTTATACAGACTTAAGTATGTTTACTTATGATAAAAATGTGATATCACTTAATACAGCTACATTGATGTCGATTAACAGATTTAAGATTTTGTCCCTGAAATATCATAGGGAATTTGGCTTCAAGATTGAGATTGATAGAGAAATAGAATTTGAGCTTCTGACTAATAGCTTTATCTTGCTTTGTAAAGTTGGAAGCATCTCAGAGACGCCTGTTTAGATAAATGATGAGAATCATGATATATATTGCAAATTCAATAACATATCACAACTTGGCGATAATTAGTTCGATATTATTCTTAGGTCTAATGACTCAAATAGGGATATAATCATTGGCTCAATTAACTAAAATGTAAAGAATATGTACATAGCCCCAAATAGTGCCAAGATAAGACTAATCTAAATTGATTATATGCTACAATACGATACTGATATTTATATTGAAGTTTTTGCAGATAATCAAACATTAAATGTGATGGCTATGAATGATTTAGCTTGCAAAGTTTAGTTTTTAGATACAGTCATTTATATTGATGCCATCCTAGGTCATAGAATGATCTCTTGTCCCATTACGAATTAATATATAAGTACTTTCGATAATTTTCTTGTAGATAAATCCTTCATTAGTGTAAATATTTCTCTGCAAGTTTCAGAAATAGCAGAGTTCTACCTAGAAGATAAGACTTAATTAATAAGACTTTACTAAGCTCTAGACATATTAAGAGTTTACCCTGATGTATTATTTAGAGATTTAACAGGTTAATCGTAAAACATTACACTAATTATAGATAATCCATCTGGCTTTGTTTTCAGACCGAGTACAAGTTGCATGTTAAATAAGCCTAAAACTTAAAACTAACATATCTTAAGCTCTATAGTCATTAATAATACAGCCATAAAATGTATTATTACTAATTAAAAAGACATCCTGACATAAACTGGGACATATAGACTAACTGTAGCTTAGAATAAATATTCATTCTTCAACTCCAGTATACCATTTGAAGTTTATTCTTCAGTTAATATAACTTAGATTTCTCCGTTTAGTATTTATATGAATACCTTATTTGAACATAGTATAGCACTTAAAGGTAGTTTTAAAAGTTTGCATTGGTATTATTAAAAGTACTAGAATCTTGATAGGTTTAGAATTTAACTATCAAATGACATGAATGAAATGAAGTACGATATTATAAAGATAAACTAAGAAGAATTGACATTTTTCATTGCCAATCTGAATTCTATAAAGCTTAATATTCTTCCAGTTGAGACTAAAATTAAGATAAAAGACCTAGTTAATAATATCACCATCTGTGAGTCATATGTACTTTTGCTGATTCGAGATTAAATCTACATTGATGATTATTATCCAAGAATATCATTTTCTGAGTATGATTTATTGAACTTTACTGTCATATTCAAATAGAATTAGCTTGATAAAATTTAATAGCTATACTGTATCTAAAATTCATCATCTTCTACTATAACACTTGCATAATAAACCAAATCAGACACTTATAATTGCCAATTTTATTCCCAGTAGATTTAATAATTTAGCATTGGAGTAAAAGATATTTATTCTGACCTAATAATACCAATCACCTCTCAGATCATAATTAACAACGAGTTACAAATAGAAATTTACTATTCTCATCCAATCAATTGCCCAAGAAGTGGAGGGACAAATGTTCTTATTTTTGGCAAAAATTTCATTTAGACTATACCTTATAACGAAGCTTTGTATTGCAAGTTCGGCTCACAAATAGTATTAGCTACTTAGACTAATGACACTGTACTTACTTGCGTTACTCCTTATTTTGCATAATCTAAAGTTGTGAATTTAGAACTACTATTAAAAGACCCTAAATATCATTATCTGAGAACATAACAACTAAGATTTTATATTGATGAGCCTATAGTTATAGAGAAAGTATTTCCTGACTACTTAGATCTAAGTTAGAGAGCAAGTGAAATACGAGTTTATCTTGCGTCTCCAATTCAAATTCATAAAGATGATGATATACTCTGCCAATTATAAAACATTATACCATAATTTATGGCTATCGTTGTAAAGGGAGAGATTGATAGTAATGGAGATGTAGTAATTTGTAAATTTGAGAACAGAAATATGACTCATTTATTTAAGTACAAAATTTCAGTCTCTAATAATGGCGGAGTAGACTACAGTACTACTTTGTATGATATTTAAGGTTATCCTCCGATTAATATTCTCAATAGTGACAATACATAAACTCTGGTTAGTGGATAATGGAAGGAGGTTAAACTATTAGTGAGCAATTTAAGATTTTTTAATGATTTGATGTGTAAATTGGTGGTAATTGATTAAGACAGTTATTACTAAGGAATAAAAGATGACAAAAACAATATATTGAAGTGTAATATTTCAGTTCCTGAGTATATCAATGATTCCACTTAATTGGAGGGTTACGTTTAAGTTGTAAGCCAAACTCAAAACATCACATCTATAAACTATCTCAACATCAGTATTCAAAAGTTTGATCTTACAATCATAAATATCTACCCTTCAAATTAGATACATCTAATATCAAATGAGCTTTTGAAATTTGAGATTACAGTAATGAAACTAAGCCACTCTCAGCAACTACCTAAAAGCTATTGTGCTTTTGACACTGAATTTTAAGATAGATGGATTTCAAATGCAACATACTTTATTAGTACTAATCTTATTGGCTGTGATATCAGTGTACCAAATAAGACAAATATATAGAGAATTACTTAGCTTTACCTGAGATTAATTCTGAAAGATTAAGCAAGCATCAATGATGAGTATCATATATTGACATTGAATCAGAGACCTTAAATTAATGAGATTTATTAGAACTCACTGGAATGGCTTAGCTAATAAAAATAAAATGCTATTAATGTCTATGGAAATAATTTTAACTCTAACTCTAAGTGTTATTATAAAGTACTTACTAGTAATTAGTATTATCAAATAGAAACAGAGTTTTACAATGTGAGTTATGTAAGATGTCTGTTCAAGAAATAACAAATATTGCAATTCAATAGCAATCCAGCAATTTAAGTTCTAATTTCAAATAACTTAGGATATCAATACTCATTACCTTTTGCATTAAATTTTAAAGAAAATCTTTAAACAATCACTGATGTGACAACATTAAATCCACTAAGTATTTATCCTAAATTCGCACCTTATTAAGGTGGAATTTGGCTTTATATTACATTTCAAAACATAACTTAAATCAAATCAATAGACTAGAGCGTAATTTATTGTGATTTCAGTACAATCGAACAAACCAAACTAAATTTGATAAATAGTACTACTGGTATATGCTAGGTTCCTCCAAGTAAATACATATAGTCAGTATTACTTAGTGTTTCATCAGCTGACTAAAGTCTTTATATTCAAGACAATCTCAAATTTTATTTTACGTATCTGGCTGACTTTGAGTTTTACAATATAGATCCCTATTTCTATATTATTTAAGAAGAGACAATGCCATAGTTTATAGAAATTACTGGCAAAAACTTCAACCAGTCAATGAGTTATATTGTGAATTTAATTTCTATTGAAGACAGAAAAAATTTCACAGTGAATTGCGAATATGTCAGTGCTATCAAACTTAAATTCAGGATTAATGGTATTAATGGAACAAAAAACAGAATATTTAAGATTAATCTAGAGATATCAGGTAATACTTAACTTACAAAGACGATTGATTAATAACTCTACTTAATAAAGAATCCTGGTATAGATTTGATTGATAAGAATACAAAATTTATGCGAGAGCATGCTTCAAATGTTTTCAGCTATATCAATATAGTCGGCACTAACATATATATTCCTGATCTAAAAATAAGCTGCTTGTTCATAATTGGTAATTATGAAACTAATTAGACATACTAGACTTAGACATTATTCTTAGAGACAGACGCTAAAAAGAAAAATTCAACATCAATTATCTAATGCTAAATACCTTTGAGCAGAATCGAAAATGCTGATACCTTTAAATAAGTTTGGCTTTCTATAATCTACGAAGATTAAGTAATGATAAACAAATTAATTGGGATTCCAGTCTTTAATGAATCTAAAGTTATATTCTCTCAAAATACCTTTCAAGTAGGCATAAATTAAACGGTTACAATTAGAGGAAACTACTTTTACCTTAATCTAGTATATGTCTGCACCTATTCAGATAGCTATAAATCAGTTTATGAATTTGCCATCTAGATTAATTCTAATACTTTAGAATGTATTCTTAAACCATAGCATTTGCTAGATGGATCCTCATCAACTTTGCAGGTATTAATACAAAATACAGGTGAAATAATAGGATCTGAGCTAATTACTTTTAAATACTAAAATACTTTGAGACTTTATCAAAGCATTCCTCAAAGTTTGTATCACAATTTAACTAATTAGTATATTGATGTAGTAGGTGATTATTTTACTTCAGATTGTTAATGTGTTTTTGGAAAAGTACAATCACTCTCAAATGTAGTTATTGATTAAAAGAACATGAAATGTTTGGTACCTTCCCCTCAGATAAAAGATAGATATGTTGATAGAAGATCACTAAATGGATTTGTTGTTGATTTATCGATTGTTTGCCCAAAGTAGCACTCTAAATCGAGAGAAAGCTTGAGTTTTTACATAAAATATGGTACTTTAATTACTAATTCGTCAAGATCCTATATAAAGCAAAACTAATTTGACTTGGACCCTTATATATATCTCTTTGGAAAACATTTCAATGCTCATCAAGTATGTGTTATAAAATCAAATGGCACTTAGCTGGAAAGAGCTATGGTGGAATTTATAACAGATGAGCAAATAAGATGCAGAATTGAGGGAATATTTTTCAATAATTAGTTGTAGAAAGCTGACATCTTTGTTAAAGAGTATGATCAAGAAAATAATTCAATAGTATATGAGTCTAATAAGATACCATTAATATATATGCCATAGATTATCATTTGGGCAAATTTTGATCTTTAATTAGAGATATTCTATCTAAAAGATCCAGGGGACGTAGTTAAGTTACATTCTAACATAGAAAGTCACTCTAACTTTAGCTATAAATGTGTTTTTGGTAGCAATGAGTATGTTTCTTAACCTATTTTCATTAATAACACTCTCAGAGGTTGCAACTGGCCTAATATTTTAGAGAACTACTCTACCATATAATTAAAAATTGTTGAGTTGAGTATTGACAACAAAGTTTCGTTTTCAAATTTTATAACTCTAAAACTTCTACCAGTACCAAATCTAATCTCTTTTGATCCAATGTATGTCCCTGCATTTGAAATACAACCTAGGCTTGTTTAAATATTTGGCTAAAATTTCATTAGTGGCTCCACAAAAATATTTATGGAATCTTCATGGAGTACTAATGTGATAGTCTCCTCATCTACAATTGGAGCTTTTTATGTGCCTATGAACATGACTCCCTCTAGTTATTCAATAAGAATTACAAATAATCTTCTTAAGTCTCCAATAAAGAAATACCAAATTATAAGTTTAGAATTTATTAAACTCCCAGAGATATTCAAATTAGTTCCTCCAGAGGTGCCTACTAGTACAAGCCCATAAAAAATAATGGTCTTTGGATAAAATTTCACATATCAAACTAAATGTGTGATCGATGGTGTTCAATCTTTCACGACATATTTAACTTCAACCATAATTGAATGTACAATTCCTGTAGCATTAGCAGGATAAGAGCTCTCAGTTATGGTTCTTTAGCGTAATCTTTACAATAATAGAGAAACAAACTTTAAAGTTAAATACTTTGCCTCTGCTTTTGTTTATGATATCTATCCAAGAAAAGCTATTAGAACTAATGCTGGTACTTAGATATCTATATCCATAGCAAATCTTCCTAAGGTTATTAGCAAAAACAGATAAATACAATACTGTAAATTTGGGCAGTATGTGGTTCAGGCATAATCGATTTATTATGAAAATCTTGAATTAAAAAATACTAATTTCACAAAGTTTATCTGTAAAACTCCTTATGTAGAGACTGCAGGAATAGTAAATGTTGAAATTTTGTCAGAACAAGGTACTTTTACTAGTAGTATTCATAATACTTTTGAGTTTATTGAACCTCCATTCATAACCAAAGTAACTCCTTAAATTGTACCAATGAATATCACAGGTATGCCAATAACATTAACTGGAATTAACTTCAATTCCATATATATTTATCTATGTCAGTATTAAAAGTAATACACCTATCTAAATAGTACAATTGCAGTATTCATTAGCTCTACATCAATTAAATGCACCCTTCCAAGCTAATACTATGTTTCAGATACTGGTTATCTGAATATAAGATTGATAATGAGAGATTAGCTAGGCACATTTGAGTATTTAACACAAGGTATGTTTAGAATATACTTTTACCATCCTTTGGTAATTGAAAAAATTTAACCAGCTAGTGGTCCTTTATCAGGAGGCAATGATGTTTTTATCTATGGAAAATTCTTTGACATTAGTCTTGGTGGAATGTATTGTAAATTTGGCACTTAGAAGGTATCAGCAGTTATTATTTAAACTGATAATTTGATAAAATGTACTGCTCCTTCCTCAAGCCTACTTTTTACAAATTAAATTGGAATCACGATATCTGTTGACGACCTCTACTATTTCTAAGGAGTCAATTTGACAGCTGTACCATATACATATTATCAAAATCCTGTATTTACTTCTCTTGTGCCATTAAGTTAAAGTATTTGGGGTGAATTTCCTATCAAAATAACAGGTGTCAATTTCGTTTACCCATCTCTTGCAGTATGCAGATATTCCTTCTCATCAAGTTCATCTATTGTAGATATAATGGGAAAATCAATAAGTAGCACAGAAATATTATGTTACTCTCCTAAGCACCTTGGTGCTGATTTATAAATAGGAGTCAGTATATCATTTAATTAATGGTAATACTATCCAGTTACGACTATATCTAGCTATTACAAATACAATACAAAAGCAAGAGTATTTGCAATCTCACCTACCTATGGTTTGGCGGACTAGCTTAATTATAACACTACAATAACTGTTACAGGTACTGGTTTTTCAGGAAAGACTATTGCTTCATTTGGAAATTTTAGCTATAGCAAACCAATAAATCTACTCTCTACAACTTAAGCAACAGTAATTTTGCCCCCATTTGTAAATATTTCTTATTACGATAACTCGTCTACTTTCGGAGATAATCGGGCAATTGTTGAGATTGGAGATACCACAGTTGGTTACTCTAAAGATGAAATAGTTTATACTTATCTTAATCATTTTAAGATATTAGAAATGTATCCATTACTGGTTAGTCAATCAGGTCAAGAGATAACATTTACTGGAGATGGATTTTTAAATACACCCACACTTAATTGCAAATTTGGAAGTTATCTTGCTGTCTCTGTTTAGTATGTAAACAGGACTAGAATTAAATGCACGACTCCAAGTTTTTCTGATATAACTAAGGATTATCCAATAATGATATCTTTGAATGGATATGAATATGTGAACTTTACTAGTATAGTTAGCAACAAGACATTTAATTTGACTTTCACTTAACCAATTACAGTTATTTCTATAGATCCTTAAATAGCATTTGACGATCAAACAAACATTAAAGTGGTAATTTAAGCTGATTTACTATACGATCTCACAACTCTTTCGTGTAAACTTCATGATTTTATCACTCAAGGAACTTATGCAAAAGAAAATGGTCTGACATATGTGACTTGCATTATTCCTTCATATCAGTTCTTGATTATAACAGCTACAAGACCTATTTTTAATAGCACAGTAGAAATTGAAGTATCTAATAATGGAATAGATTTTTCTGATTCTAACAAGACATTCAAATTCATCATTGTTGATCAAGTGTAAGGAATAAATCCAAATACAGGACCAGAGGAAGGTGGAACACTAATCAATATTATACTAAAGGATTTACCATATGAGGGCGACGCTTCTAAAATTACACTTGCTTAATGTATTTTCCCAGGCTATGATCCATAAAAGGCTACATACATTAATTCAACCTTGATTTAATGTACCACTCCTAAGCTAATAGATAATATTGATGGAATAATTTCAAATCCTGCATATGCAATCGCTCAAGTAAAATTGAACTTGATTGGTATTGATAGTTCCTATTTCTATTTTGTATACAGTAAAGGATTTCATGTATAAGGGTTTGAGCCACCTAATGCTTATCTTGAACCTGGATCTAACCTTTAAATGCCTATAAACATTGTCGGAGTAAATTTCCTTCCGATAACAGGCTCCTTATACTGTCGACTATATCTTGGCTCTATTGTTTAAGTTGCTGCTACTTATATAAATAATCATACAATTTCCTGTTAAATTCCCTCACTTCCAAGCGGGACTAATTTACCTTATCCAATGAGAATTGAGGTATCTTAAAATGGGGGAATTCAATTTTCTAATGATTTTTAAGAATTTTTATATAGAGCAAAAGACATAATGTCATCTCTTTATCCTGCTAGAGGGTATGTATTAGGAAATACTTATCTGCAAATTGGATTTACATATTTTTATGAGACAACGAATAAAAGATCAGTCTGTAAATTCACTACTCTAGATGATTCTAATTTTATCGTAACAAGAATAATTTCATATAATTCAACTCATATTTTTTGCTATACTCCGCCAGCTTATCTTTTAAATGATAATTTGTTTATTTACGGAGGACAAGCTAAGGTATCAATATCTAGCAATAACCGAGATTTTTCAGCTTAATTATTCTACTTCACATATTTACCTATGGTTAAAATAACTAGCATCTCACCACTTTGGGTTATTAACAGTGAAGTTACTGATATTACAATAATGGGACTACATTTTTATCTATCGGACGAGACTAGAGTTAGATTACGATCATCAGATGGTTTGAGAGAGACTTTAATTAGAAATCCAACTTATATTTCAGATACAATTGTTACATTTAGATTTCCATTTTTAATGTTCTTAAACAAGGACTTTGTTAAGGTTGCCTTGACATTTGATGATTAGAATTATTTTGATGCTGAAGATAGATTGATTGTTTACGAATCTATATAACTCTATAATGCTAAGCCAAAATATCTCTATACAGAGGCTACTTCTGGATTTCGTTCAATATCTGTTATAGTAGCTAATAATTGGAATACTGAAGTATCTAAATTACTCAAATGTAGACTTGACAAGACAATCCCAACACTTGCTTACTTTGTTTCATAATAAGAAATTATTTGTCAGATTCCTAAGAAATCCTCTCCAGGTTTTGCAGAAATTGAGGCTACGATTGATTCAATAAGATATTCACTTAATAGTGTCTTTGTTAAATTCATTGATGAACCTGCTATAACCTCTATAAATGTGACTTCATATTACTATACATAAGATGAAATCGTTTATGTCAAACTCATTGGAACAAACCTTGACAAAAATACGGATAATGGTGGACAGCTTTTTATCAAGGTTGACAATGTTGTCTAAACACTGCCAGTAACATCAGGTTAAACCGAGGTGATATTTTAATTACCTAAGGGGCTAGATTTAGGAATTCATTATGTTTACATTTCTACTGATGGCTCATACTTCAAACCAAATGGAATATCACCTTTCAAGTTTGAAGTTATTCAATGTCCTGACACTTATACTTGTAGTTAATTCTCTGCAACAATATGTCCAGCTGGCTATTATTGTCCAGAGACAAAAACATTTGAAGCTATAAAATGTCCTTCAGGTTAAAAATCTATATCAGGGCAGAGTACTTGTACCTAATGCTTGAGTGAGGAGTTTTGTCCAAGAATAGGAATGATCACACATTTCTAGTGTCCAGCTGGCTATATTTGTACAGGAGAAAATATCATTTCTACAAATCAACTTAAAATATGCCCAGAGGGTTATTACTGCCCATTTGGTGACTTTGATCAAATTGATGAAACAAAAATTGGGGATGCAGGAAATGTAAAAGCTTGCCCTAATGGATTCTGGTGCCCAGAGGGATCAAGGACAGCTATCAAGGATTATGGTAGATTCGACTCACCTCAAGTTTGCAGAGATGGCTAAATTTGTGGTCAACAAGTTGATATGTCAAGTAGCAGAACATTACCTGGAGCTAGAGATCCTGAAGGGATAAGTGTTTGTCCTATTGGGAAATATTGCTCTTAAGGTTTCCCTCATGCTTGTCCAAAAGGATAAAAATGCGACCAGGAAGGTCTTATTGAACCAAATAGATGCTAACCAGGTTAATATTAAAATGAAACAGGTTAAACTCAATGCAACCTATGTCCAGTTGGTTCCTTTTGTCTGGATGATAATATGACCACTCCTTATAGATGTAGATCGGGATATACCTGTTAGTTTGAAGGAAGTCCTTATCCAGCTTAACTTTGCCCTGCAGGCTCTTTTTGTGTAATTTCATCAATCACAAACATTACTAACAACACAGTTCCAGCATAGTTTAGACCTGTATATTGTTATGCAGCTAGTTATTGTCTCTAAGGAGTTTATTCACCTTTGATAAATTCTTCCAACCCATAATCAGCTCAACAATGTTAGGGTGGTACATTTTGTTAAGAAGGTACAAAAGATCCTAACGGAGGCGGAAAATGTCTTGAGGGGTATTATTGTCCTCCGAATTCTTCAGATATGATTCCAACTGATCCAGGATTCTTCTCAGAGGGTAGAGGAAATGAAGCATAAGAACCTTGTAGAGCAGGTACATATTAAGATGAACCAGCTTAAGCTTTTTGTAAGGAATGCCCACTTGGCTATTAATGTCCTAACGTTCAAATGATCAAGCCAGAGAGATGTCCATAAGGCACCTATGCCTAAAAAACTGGATAAACTTAATGTGATAAATGCCCTCAAGGAACCTATTCCAACTAATTTGGATTGATCAATTAAAACTAATGTAAAATATGTGAGCCTAGATATGTCTGTGGTGTTGCTGGAATAAAATCAATGTCTGAGGCAGTCGAGTGTTAAGAAGGATATTAATGCGGATACAGAACAACAACAAATTCTATGTACAATAACTAATGCCCTTAAGGCTACTATTGTGATTCAGGAGCAAGTTCAGTAGAGGATTACTTTCTATGTGAGCCAGGATTTTTCTGCCCTCTAGGCACTAGTAAAACTAAATACAACCAAAATGAATGCCTTCAAGGATACTATTGCCCAAGAGGAACAGCTGGTGAAGTCAATCCTTCAGGTGGTTTTAAAGATGGTGTTTCCTAGGTTGATAAAAATAGACTAGTTACTGCAATCTAATCTCTTATAAGTACTACAAAGTTCCTTATGTAGCAATTCGGAAATGAAACTTAGGTAGCTTATCTAAAAGGTATGAAAAAAGATCTAGCTAACATGACCTTTATGATTTCAAATACTACAAACGAGACATTGAAGCAATCTTACTAGGATAATTATGAATATTTACTCAGCAAAATTGATGATGTTGAATGGTAGCTTAAGAAATATGATGCAAATATTACTTACATAAAAGAGAGATAGGAATATATGCAAAAGATTTTAAATGAACCTGCTTGCTCTTAAAATTCTCCATTGCCAAATGAGCTTATAGTCAAATATTCTTAAAATGGCAAAAATTTGAAATGCCCTTCAGGAACTACTACTCCTGGTAAGTAAGCTTATTGTCTAGGGTAATGTGAAAGAGACTCAAATGTACTTGTTCCTGTGAGTATTATAGATCCTGTTAAGATAGATATAGTAATTTCTTCACTAGCAGAATAAGATAGAGTAAGTATACGTTTTAGAAATATAATTGAAAAATTTGATCATCAGTATAAATTAAATCGATTTCTTACATTTGCTTTTAGAATCTGCAATCAGCAAGCGATGATTCATAGGATCAGGCTAATTTAACTGAAGCTGACTTTAATAACTTTACTAAAAGTAAACTTATAATTTCTTAATATATTAAAAGGTATAAAGTAGGATCTACGAATTTATAATCTACATCCTTTACAATCAGCTAAATGTATTTTTGATTTCAGCTAGCTGCCTGATGAATTTTTATACAATGAGCATTTTGAAATCATCATTATGGATGCTGAAACAAACACAAACATGGATCTGCCTTACTACTTTAGTAATGAGGTATTAGAAAGAATTCTTAAAATGATAATCTATAGAATAAAGACAATACAATTAAAAAAGCTGTATTAGAAATAAAACTATTTAATTGGGAAAAGGACCCAATACAATTCAAAGTGGGCATTTATCTCTATCATGGTCTCTTTTAACCATTCCTCATTCTTCTTTAGAATAAAGTAAATTCAACAATTTAAACTTTCAGGTGACCATTGAGTTTTACAATGCTCATAGATAAGGCATGTTTTCAAATAATACGTGGGGTATACTTATTGCTTAAGTATAATTGAAAGGAATTACTATTCCATACAACTCTCTGTAATTTTATTATTGATATTTTCAAAAATTAAATGAACTTTAGTGATATCGGAAATGAGCCAAAGTTTTATCTTGATATGACAGCCTCAGGGCCTGATATAAATCCTGTTAGGAAAAATTTAGATAAGGATGTGTTCGATAGTACATTTTGGGACAGCAAGCAAATTAATGCTGTGATTATGCCTTGGCTTCCATTTTTCAGTAATTGTGAGGGTTATGATTCTCGAATTGTACTTTATGATCTTTTGGAGTATAATAGCTAATGCAAGCTTCCAAATTACGATGATATTCGTATTGTGAACCCTATTCCATCCTCTGGGTTAGATCCTATTGCAGACTCTTGTAACATAGCTTTAAAATGTATTTATGATGAGCCTCTTGGTTCCACTATATCTACATCTACTCGTTGGTATGCAATTTCAGAACAATCAGATCTTTTCTTTATGACCTAATCTCCGATCAGTGCTGAAAGATTTAGAGAAGATAATGGCAATGGTAAGCTTGAATAATATAATTAATTTAATTTAGAGGACAATCCTTAGACTTCTTACATATCTCTCATTGAAGATGGTAGCGATGAGTTAATTCCTGGTACTTTCTATCCAGAAGCAGGTTCATCTGGAATTCCAACTGTGGTAGAACTTAATCTCTTTTACTATCAAGAATCTAAAGATATCAAGAAAATTTCCAAGATTGAAGTAAACCTAAAGAATTATACAGAACTAAATGTCTCTGAAACAGGTCATTACTAACTCTAAATTAGATATGAAGCACTCTCCTATTTCAACTTGATTAATACTTTCTAGTTCTCAGTGCCTATTTATATATTACTTTTCAGCTTTGTCTCCCTCATTTTAATTCTGGCACTGATAATGTTCTGGCTGATTAATTTACAATTTTCTAAAATCAAGAAACCACCATCTCTAAGATTCAAACACATGGGAAGAGTACTATTTAGGCCACCTGCCATAGGAACAATATTGGCATCAATTCCAGCTATGATTACAGCAGGCCTACTAAACTTTTTGCAAAAATAGACTTGGTTTGACAATATCTATAATGATTGGTCTTATCTTGGGCAATAATTAACAGCTGATGAGCTAGTTAGCTTTCGTAGAGGAAGACTTGGAATTGGCTTTATAATCATAGGCTGTAAATATTTCCAATTATCTTATTATTTTAGTTACATTCTTGCTTTATGGGTCTCATAACATTATTGTAAAGCCAAGTTCAGATGAATAGGACGAGATTATTGGCAATCTAAAGGCTACGAGAGATAAAGAGAAATTTGAGCTTTCAATGGAGGATGATGACTCAGATGCTGGAGGAGCTAAGAATGATGGAGATGATGAGTTAGGTGAGGAAGAAACTAATATAAGAAATGCTCTTGATTGGAAGCGTAGACATTACTTTATCAACTGTTTTTTCATCTCCCTATTTATGATGCTAAAGTTAGAGTTCTCTTATAGCGAGGTGTTTGGCAAAAATATTCTTTACTTTTAGGTTGGGTTCACATTTCTTGATATATTTGTTGAATAATGTAAGTGTTTCTAAATCTTCACCTTATTTATAGTCATTATGAGAATTATAATGGGAGAAGCACTGCTTACTACACCTTTACTAGGGTGCTTTGTTGTCATGGAATTTATCATGACTATGGGAGCGAATGATTTCTAAAGCTTTATTATTTCGTACTTTATAGAAACTGGATTAGTTGTGGTCTCAAGAACCTATGTTGGTCCTTTAGTTGAGAATCTTGAGTTTTAAGTGCAAAAGTTGGTTATCAGAATGAGTTAGAAATCAAAAGTAGTTGAAAACATATTCAGATCTGTTTTAAGGAGATAACTGAAGTAATATCTATATCAATACCTAACCCCTTTTTAGTATCCAAATGCAACTAATTAATCTGACAGAATATCACACATCAGAGAAAGGTTAAAAGAAATTAGGCATACTTGAAAAAGGAGAGGGTATGGAACATTTACTTGGAAGTGTGCAGACTTATGCTTGTAATACATAATCACTCTTCTTAACTCCTCTTGTACTAACATATGTTATTTTGTTTGCTAATGAAACTAAAATACCCAAAGGATATTCAATTAGGCAGACTGATTTGAACTACTATCTTATCTTTTCAATTATCATTATCATTCCTCAAATGGTAATAGATGTTTTCCTACTTCATATTCTAGAAATTTTGCATGGATATAAACTTTATGATTATTTCAGTTACTGTGATTACAAATTTAGACATAGATAAAACAAGTGGGTAGCTCATGGAAAGATGGATAAGTCTATTATTCATTCTTGGAGATCTTTGGATAATCTGAGCTTTTCATCACAATATTATTACATTGTTTCTTTAACGACATGGGGAGTAATATTCTTATGTTTTGGATTCACTACTATGATGAGAAATACTTATAATCCATTTGCTGATCCTGTATTGTTAGCTTATTTCTCGATGGTAGTTGGAGCAGCGATCTTTTTGAAACCTATCCTTAATCTCTTATCAAGTTATATAAAACTCTGGGAAATTAGCTCTATTGATCATCTGAAGATAGATATTGCTCAAGTAAACAGGCTCGATAAGGATAACAATATGAAAAGACTGATAAAAAATATCCAAACAAATCCATTCAGGCATAAATTCATGAGAAATAACAGAGAATGGATTATTCATAATATAGCTGTTATTCTAGGTGGAAAGAACTATATGAACTAGCCAGGGCCGGAATATGAATTCCTTAAAAATATCTATCAAAGGGCTGTCAATGCTGAATCCATAGATGCCAAGCTAAAAGTTGAATAAGATAGAATAGCCTAGGATTTGGCAATGATGCCCTACAATAAAAGACAGGAAGGCGCTGAAGGCTAGGATATCATAGTTTCAGATGATTCAATATCTGATCTTCCTGTGTATAACTGGGAGATACCAATTTAAATAACCTATGATCATGTATAGAGGATGGCTAATATGTGGCTAGATTATGCTAGATAAAATATGAGATTGAAAGAAATTGTAAGTGACATCGTATTTAAGAAACTAAGGTCTAAATGCTAGAGGTGCAAGTCCTAATTCCGTCTTTAAGTCATTTAAAAAGTCAACTTTTCCGACTTGGTAAAAAAGTTTAGATATCAGATGGTTGGATTGCCTTTCACCAAAATGAGATGGAGGAGATTCTATGCTAGACATTAATTATTTGTTACTCTTTGTATGGAATGTGCTTATATTGATAATTTGAAGGCCTAAACATTAAAGAAGAAAGACAATGAGCTCTTCAACTTGATCACTGAAAATGCCATGAAAAATGTAGGAGCTCATGATATGATAGTCAAGAGAAACATTCAGAAGAAGCATGTTAGAAGAGTTATAAAGAAATGGATCTAGATTGCTAAGAGTAACTTGCTTCATAATGTCAAAAAGAAGGCTGAAGCTGCTGATGACATCGTCTTTGAAGATGAATTTGCAGCAATTTGATTATTAACAACTAATATTGATTTCATAAATAATATTTTATTAAAAGATTTAACGTTCACTTTCAATATTCAATCAAAAATAAAAAGAAAAGGCTTATTAAAAAAACTAAATATCCATGCTTGTTACGTTGTCTATTATTTATAATTTTGCTGACATAAAATTTTCCAGCTATAATAAATTTTCATGTCTGACAAAACTTACTAGTTAACATTCGACTTTTTTAGTTTTGGATAATTTTAGGCATCTTACAATCCAAACTTAGTTTTTTAACATTCTAGCTGATAGGTGATAATACAATATTTTTCTGATATTCAGGAATTACCTCAACTTTAGGGGAGAATTCATTCCTAGGAAAGGATATTAGTTGTTTTTATTTATACTAAAGTTCTCTTTAATCTATGTTTTTCACAAGATTTTTATTAACATTAGACTATCCTCTCTTACGCCATAACTTACCCATTAGTTACGATGATTTTTTGTAAAGATTAATTTGATGTTCTGATACTGGGTTAAAGTTATATATTTTATCATCCTTGTTATAACTTGATTCAAATGAAAATGTTGAATTCAGATTAATCTTATTTCTTGGCATTGAGCATCTCCTGTTTTTAGGATTAAACTCAAACTCTTGTGCACTTACATCTATCTGTTTCAGCATTTCATTTTTGAAGAATATTTTACTCTAAGACTTTTCAAATTCTTCTTAAATTTTCCGTTTTACAATAATCTAATCCTCATCCCTGATGAAATTCGCTATTGATTTCTATCTAACTTCACTAATATGGATTTAAGGTGTATGTATTATCTAATCTTGTTTTGGAGCTAAAACAGAGGAAAATCGATTATTTGAATCAGAAGTATTCTTAAACTTTGCGTAAAATGATAAATCTTTTGATTCTAGTCTCTTGAGATATGAGTTTGAGAATTTATTTATATCTTGCAATTTTACTGGAGACTTAAAGTTATACTTTTTGATAGTTTCATCATGCTTGATTGGAGTAAACTATAGAATAGTATTTTCCTTTGACTGATTTAGGAATGATTTATTTTGAAGGTTTGGGATAATTATTCAAGGTTCCTTTTGTGTTTTTATATTTTAATTTGAGTCATCAAATGTTGAAGCTGTTATATCGTGAAATAAAGCTGCACTGCAATTAAACTTTCTTTATCTTTTTTTAATTAGGAATATTTTTTTCATTAGAAATATTTCTTGACTTAGCTCATCAATCTATGGAGGTTCTTATGAGAAAAGCTCATAGTTATGCTAGCTGATGCATTAAAACTCATTATTTTAAATTTTCTGAAGAGTAGAATCTCTTCGGCTCTTTCTCATTATTAAAATATAATTAATCACAGAATTAATAATAGCTTAAGCCTAAATGCTAGATTTCATACTCTTCTAAAATTCTTTATCATTAGGTACTGGGGTTTTGGGGTTTTGGGGAGATCGGAA